GAAGCCTTTTTGTTCATTGCACAGAATATCATACTTTTCGAGGTACGCATTAATTTTGTAATAAAGATATTTTTCAATTATCTTTGAAAATATAGATATTAATGCTATAGGCCTATAGTTTTCCATTAATTGTTTATTTTCTTTCTTGAATAGAGGCTTAATTATTGTCAGTTTAAGGTCTGCTGGAAATGTACCAGTTGAAATACACAAATTTACAATATAACTTAAGTGATGGCATATAGTTTCATTAACCGCCTTAATGATTTTAGTAGAGAAACCATCATATCCAACACTATTAGTGTTTTTTAACTTTTTTATGATTTGATTAATTTGAACGGGTGTGCAATGCGTAAGGAACATTGAGTTAAGGCGTTCTTTCACTAAATTAGTCACATTTTGACCAGCACCTACAATAGGGGTGATTTTTTCAATAAAATAATCATTAAATGCATTAGCTATGTCCTTCGGATTATGAATATATTTATTATTATGAATTTTTATGTCCGTAATTGTTTCTTTTGGTAAATTTAGTCTCAATTTGCTAATAACTTGCCATGCCGCTTTACACTTGTTTGTAGAAGTTTTTATTTTGTGACAGTTTTGGGCAAGTTTTGTACATTTAATTATTCTTTTAAAAACCTTACAATATTTAACATATTTTAATTTATTTTCCTTTGTAGGATGCAATTTATATTTCCACAGCAAATGCCTCTTTTTTTTACTGCATATTTTAATCCCACGCGATATCCATTTTGGTTTTCTGTTAACTCTTATTGTAATTTTTTTTAGTGGGAAACACAAATCATAAAATAGCCTGAAATTTTCTATAAAAGATTTATAGGCTATATTTGGATCACAGGTATGATAGATATTGGAAAACGTTAAGCTTCTAATGCAAGTTTTAAATTTACTTATATTTTCAGGGTTATAATCGCGTTTGAGTATAGTCTCTGAAACGGGTAAGCGGATTGTAACCATCTTTTGTACATAACTTCTTAAGGATTAGTTTTAATTTGTTCGACAATAAAATAACAAAAATAATGGACCGTTTAGAAATTATTTAGGTAAGTATGAAAACACTTCAATACGTCCTAACACTTTGAATAAGACCTCTAAGGACTTACTTCAAACGTTATTCTATTGCTTGTAACTATCTTCAAATGTATACGAATTTTCGTAAGAATACTGTAAGTGACTAAAAAGTTATGATGAAATGTAGCTCTCCACGTTCACGATCACAATGTGTGCGGCCTTTTTTGGCCACCGATAAACCTATGTGTGGATATATAAACTGAATGTTATGCCAATAATTAGTTGTTTAGTTCAGTTGTCTACCTGTAGAATTTCAGCGTCGTACATATAATAATTTACGAGATAATTAAATAAAAGTCATTAGAAGGTGCAAGTCCGTGGTAATCCGACCATGTTTAAGTGGTTACAAAAAAGCGATCACCCAGTACATTGCGCTCTCTTTCAAAATGTTTAGTGTAATACACCTTACGATTTCGGTACAGTTGCGTACACTGTTAAGTACATTCAATATTTATTCATTATTATTACCTATTATTTTGTTTTTTTTTCCTAATTGATCTTAAGCACTAGTTTCTTTACTTAAAATTTCTTTAGTCTTTTTAACTACCGGAGCTACAATCAACAGAAACTCTGCACTAGCCCGCTAAAATTATAAATATGTAGATACATGTATGAACGATTCACCTGACTGCAATGAATCGAAAATTTAAACCAATAAGAAATCGTTTCATTTCTTTATTTTTTTTTGTAAAGAAATAACACTAAAGTAATTGTATTTTATTTTGAGGTGTATAGAGCTTAGACTTGAATGCATCAAAATATTTAAAGCAACAAGTCATCTACAATAAGTTAAAATAGACTATAATAGTAGAAGAATACAGTTGTAAATTAAAATGCATCAACATTGCATCGCCCAACAGTCGTATACCTCGTAATATTATTCTGTGGTCTATACCGAGAACCGAGAATTATCTATATCTATGTACCTACCGCTAAGCGTTGAGCCCGTGACTGTTGATTTCTGTTAAAAACGAACAGTTGTTGAATGATATTTTGATATAATAACGGTAATTTAATTTATCGAATGAAAGTGATACATTTTTATAGATAAAATTATTGGTCAGATAATATTTGTCAATCAAGAATCGCCGATAATACATCCTTAGCTAGAACGCGGGAGGGGAGGGGCGAAGGGATACTTTATTGTTTGCAATTTGCATCTAGTGCACTAAACTTGACCCTTAGGCAGATAATATACCTACGTCTTGTAAAGTGCGTGTGTGCTTCCGCTTTCTATTTTTGCAAATATTTATCGTATTCTTGAGAGTTCTTCAATATGTATGTACCTAATTACTAGTAATGGGCATTAATGCTAATTAGATTCAATTTAAGTAATTGCGAATTCTTGTCATAGGATGTTAATTACTAATGCTAATATTGAAATTTCGTTCGGGGTGAACAAATTAAAAACGATCATAACTTGTAGGTAGATATATCACTTATTACTAATTTTACAAAAAAAATTTATTTTATTATAATTTAACTCACCGCGATTTTGTGATCAAATATTTTATTTTCTCCAACATTATAACTTCAACTTCAAAACTTAAATTACCTATACCTACCCTAAAATTAAATTCAATTAACAAATACTACACAGGTACCAATTCTATGAACAACTATAAACAATTCACCTAAACATTACGAGAAAATAAAAGCATTCAAAACAATACCTAATCTCCCGGCTGATTACTAATTAATTATGCAATAAACAATCCTAAATAAAAATTATTTAAAAAACATGTAGTTTTTTGTAACACTTATGTACATATACGTAGTAAACTTGCAAATAATATCCTACATATTTCAAAAGCCAGCACAATGTACTGGGTGATCGCTTTTTTGTAACCACCTAAACATGGTCGGGTTACCACGGTCTTGCACCTTCTAATGACTTTTATTTAATTATCTCGTAAATTATTATATGTACTACGCTGAAATTTTACAGGTAGACAACTGAACTAAACAACTAATTATTAGCATAACATTCAGTTTATATATCCACACACAGGTTTATCGGTGGCCAAAAAAGGCCGCACACATTGTGATCGTGAACGTGGAGAGCCACATTTCATCATAACTTTTTAGTCACTTACAGTATACTTACGAAAATTCGTATACATTTGAAGATAGTTACAAGCAATAGAATAACGTTTGAAGTAAGTCTTTAGAGGTCTTATTCAAAGTGTTAGGACGTATTGAAGTGTTTTCATACTTACCTAAATAATTTTTAAACGGTCCATTATTTTTGTTATTTTATTGTCGAACAAATTAAAACTAATCCTTAAGAAGTTATGTACAAAAGATGGTTACAATCCGCTTACCCGTTTCAGAGATCCAGCAAACCCACAAACGTTACTCCAGCAGGATCTCGAATAACTTCGCAGCCGAAGAAAATACAAATACCAAATAAGTTGTAACATTTACCTAGTCTAGATAACTAATTATTTAGCTAACATTTATTTCAATATTACAATTAAAAAAGAAAATGTCTGGCTGCGGTAACGTTTCAAACGTTACCCCAGCAGGAAATGTTTTTTTGAAATAACTAAAAAAGTTTAAATGAAACAAATTTAAAAATGTGCTTAACAATTACAGAAGGGGAGCAACTAATTATCTATAACGTTTAAATGACAATTTTCGACATTATTTTGCTGGGGTAACGCACACTAGTTTCGTTGTACGTGCGTGCGTGTATAGCCCGTGCGCGAATAGTTGAGACCTGACCGCGGTGACGTCTCAGACACGCGCTTGTACAGACAGCAGCAGAGTGCACATAGGATGTGCTATCTTGCTTATTTGCGCATGCGACTTTGGCAAAGTCAAGTGCGCAAGCAAGCTGCTACTTTTTATGCAAAAAACGTAGATAAAGTGTTGTACTCAAAACAACTCCACTTAATATTAATCTTTTATTATTATACTGAGCCTAAAAAAACAATATTGTTTACGTGAATTATACTACTAAACTACTACGCTACGACAAAGGCTACGAACAAATAGTAATAAAATTAATAGCAAATAATAACAAAATAGCAAAATGTTACAGGAAATCTGATAACAATAGGAATGTGTCGTCGTTACGTGACGTAGGCCAGTACGAGACTAATATGTTAGTAAAAAAATGCTACTGTACAACGTGGGTGCTCGAAGGGAAGTGACAGGGATAGCGGGCAGGGGATTGCATTTTACGCAAGTCTCAACTTATCGTGGACGGATAGTAATCTTGTATGTACACGTCAAGGCGCGTAGTTTTAATTGGCCTTACTTCTTTGGTCACGGAGTAGTGAATAGTACCATCTTAACTTTTTTATTTGATCTGAGGCTGCATACTATATTAAACGCATCAGCTGAATGCCATATTATGCTGTAGGCTTTTTATTAAAAGACTAGGCTGTTAATTGAATGTTTCTATGTACCTATATAAAAGTAATCTCTGTGGGATGTGGGATGTATTCATGTATCCCTTTGCACAATGTTGTCTATTCACTATTCACCAAACTTTTTTTTCGTCCAGACATTTTTATTTGTAGTGTTCAAAATATTAAATAATTTGTACATATTTAATACTACATGTTTTTTTGAAACGTTAAAAACATTAAAAAACCAATGAACGATTTTACTTGTTGAGTATTTGAAAGTTTGCTTTGTTGAACTCTGGTTTCTGTCAAGTGTCAAAATTAAAATAAACAAAACGATATAATCAATGACGGATTATAATATATAATATCATTTAAATATCATTGGTTATTATGTAGAATAGAGTTTAAAGTTGAAATTCAACTATTGAAGAAATACTAATCAAAGTTAATAGTTTATTAAAAGTACTTACTGAGGAATCTTGGCAGTTACTGTTGAAATTAAAAACAAATGTTGTGTTAATTTAAAAATAAGTGTTATTGTTATTTAAAATGATTTTAGAGTATATAATCAAGTTCCATTTACAAGAGTGTATTAATATTTTATCGCAACCGGACAAATTAGGCTATTACAGCGTTAAAATCGAGTAATTGGCATTATATTTTTGTTTACTAAACTTACTTTTATTACTATAAGTGGTTGCTTTGGTACAATTCGTTGTTTTAGTTTTTTGAAACTATTCGAGACATATCCTGATGTTGGAGACAAAGTATTATGCGATCCTGTGGTGAGCCTGCCAGCCTGTGACAAGGATGTGATAAAAGCTCAACAACAAATACTAGAAGGTGATGAATACAAATCAATTTTGTCGAAGTTACAATACAGTTTTATAAAACGGAATGTTCACGCAAGATTTTTTGGCTTACCAGTATGTCCAGAACTACATAGGACTATATTTCCTAAAAATGTGGATTTGGGATGTTTTTTAAAAGTAACTGGTATGTTTTTTAAGCCTAAATCTTCTAAAGTAAATGATATGATATGATTCCTGATATGGAACCTGACTAATGAATTGTTATTATTTAAGGCACAGTTGTCCGAGTCACACAATCTAAAATGCTAGAATATCATAGGAAGTATGTATGTGTCAAATGTAATTATGAGAATTGTCAAGAAGCTCAATTTGAAAACAGATATATTTTAAAGCCTCCATCAAAATGTGGCAATGACATCAAATCTTGTAGGAGTTCTACATTTTCAGAAGTACAGCTCGTTTCAAGAGAACATTGTAAAGATTATCAAGAAATAAAAATACAGGTAATTATTACTAAACTCTACTTTATTATACCACTTGCTGTCACTGGTCTGGTGGCCCCTCTAAACACATGACGAATGTTAGGGTATGTAAATTTAACCTCTTCAATTATCAGTTGCATTTTCCATCTGACACTTTGTTGTATCTCAGACCCTACAGCTTGCCCTCCCATACACTCAATTGCACTATCCTTTTTTCTTACCCAATTTTAATTTTTTACTTCGATCTTGGTGGTTTTTTTCAATCAAGTATATCATTTATTACACAAATAGGACTTAATCCTAAATATACCAGTTTCACGACTTACTTAAACCTTTCTAAGGAGAGACCTAAGTCCAGCAGTGGACTCTTAAAGGCTGGTGATGATGATACCTTTGTGTGGAAGTGGTTTTCATATTATTTAAAACTTAAATCAAATGTTTTAGGAACAAGTTAATAAGTTAAGTATTGGTACAATACCAGGATCTTTGTGGGTTGTGTTGGAAGATGATCTAGTAGATTGTTGTAAACCTGGTGATGATGTTCTAATTTGGTAAGTTTCTAAGGTTCTTTCAGCTATTTATTTTTAGGTTTAAATGACAGATCCTTTATTATCTGACCATGATAATACAATCCCAATAGTGATAAGCCCTTACAGTTGGCATTGTGATAGTGTGTAAACCCCAGAACATATATGAAATACTAGCTGGCCTGCACATCTTACGCGTCATGGTTCATTGTGGTTTATGAGGTCGCCCTTTCTAAGGAGAGGCCATGTCCAGCAGTGGACTAGCTGTTGATGATGATATGCGGTGGCCACGCCGATTCCTACTATGCTGAGTGTTTTGTGTTCGATGCCCACATGGGATGACTTTTTTTGTGATCAACAAACTTTTATTTTGAGTCTGGGTGTTTGTGTGCGTTTCTTGGATGTTTGTAAAGTCCGGGACTTCTAATGTGAGAGTTGTTTTAAAAAGAATAAAAGAAAAAATGTAGATTAAAGTTTTACAATGTTACAGTGCAACAGTACGACGTCGCTGGAGGCCTGTTGGACAAAATAAGAAATCAGAAGTAGAACTAGTTCCACAAGCAAATTATATAGAAGTATGCAATGCCCAAAGGTCAGAAGTGATAGCTACAGCCCCTGATATTAAAGAGTGTTTCAATGAGTTTTGGGCTAAGTATGAAGCTTGTCCCTTGAAAGGAAGGGACCGAATTTTAGCAGCAGTGGCTCCCCAGGTAAATTATATAGACACATGCTCTACCTACGCTTCTCTGCTGTAAATTATGGTGGCATTGGTGAGAAATGAGGAACTCAAAATTGACGCAGACACATAGATTAAACAGTCTTTGAAGAGGGTTATAATATTTATTTTTGGATTTTGGTTTCGGACGAATCTAAGATTAGCTGCAAATCCAGTTTCGGTCAGACACTATTATGCAGATGGGTACACACTAGGAGTTTTTGAGGATAGAAGTAGGATAGGTGTAGATATGGAAGTATGGTTTGAAGTTCATTACAACAATTAATGATAAAAGCTTAATGATATCAGTTCAAACCTAAACTCAAGATACCGTTTTGTGTTTATAGTTAGAGTGTTGTGATGACAGATTTCTTTCCTAAACAATAATATATTTATTCTTAATAGGTTTATGGTCTTCATCTGGTGAAGTTAGCACTGTTGCTTACAGTTATTACAGGATCAAACCATATTATAGAAAATGACATAAATAAAAAAACTGTTCAAGACGAAAAGCACTCGACTCGAGTCCGTGGACAGTGTCACCTTCTTCTAGTTGGAGACCCAGGTATAGTGAACAGACCAATTTGAATAAACGATGATAATCCGCCGCGACATTATTTTTTATTTGCCCTTATCCTAAATTTATAGGGGTCGGCGCAATGAGTTTTCTTCTTTCATTCTCCTCTTTTACAGTCCTTCATTTCATTGCAAAATGGTTTAACTTTTGAAGTGATAACTTCTTATGGGAGGGTAAACCGCTTCGTTACGTAACGCGTTACGGCGCCAGTCTGTCTGGCTTCCCTTTCTCTCACGCATACGGCAGCAGTAGGCAGGCTCCTCCTTTCTCACACTAACACACAGCGCTAGCCATATTTGGGACAGACACTTTACATAAAATTTAAGTAATAACCTAAGCTCAACTTTGATTAGTTTAAGTTATCACTTCCTAAAATGCAATTTTTTTTATGGCCGGCCGACTTCCATTGGAATATAATCTATTATATAATATAATAAATTATAATAGGTCTTTACCTATGAAATTGCCGTTTTGTATGCAATAAGTGAAAGTACTTATTTTTTCAAACTTTTTTATTTCTGTTATTCGAAGTAATCACCCATGCAATCGACGCATCTTTGCCAACGCATTGGCAGTTTATTGATGCCCTTCTTGTAAAAATCAGCTGGACGGGAGGCAACACACTCTTCAAAGGCATTTTGTACTGCCTCTCGGGAATTGAATTTTTTACCCACTAAAAAGATGTCAAAATTTTGGAAAAAGTAATAGTCGGTAGGTGCAAGGTCTGGTGAGTACCAAGCAACCAGCTTTGGTCAATCGGTCGTCCCCACTGCTCCTTCACGACAACGCGCGACCCCATACTGCGCAACAGACAGTCTCCAAGCTGCAAGAGCTGGGGTTAGAAGCTCTCCCTCATCCGCCATACTCAGCACAAATGGGCCGGCTGGACCGGAGTGATATCACGGCTTCACGCCTGTGTTAAGCTGTTCTTTCGATGGTTTTTACTGAGCGAGTGAGGTTTCCTGATCGCGAAACCCTAATTATAGGAAGGAGGGGAATCAAGAGGTGGTAACACACTTTATTGAATTGAAAATTCTTTAGGCGCGTTGGGCATTTTTGAACACCAAACAAAATAATGTATTTTATGAATTCACAAAAAAAAAAATTTGAGCTGGAAAAAAGGGCTGTTCCACTAGTCCCTAGCAGCTGTCCCTCCTGGTGGGGACAAGTGGACTTTTTTTTCCACACTTCCCTACCACACCGTTACTGGTTGGGATGTGTGGAATTTCATTTCCATTGAATGAATTTGAAAAGAAATGAAAAAACTGACCAAACTTTGAACCACAATAATTCCCTTTTTTGTCTTGTAGCGTAAATAATTAAATATACTCCACTTAGGTACTGGTAAATCGCAGCTGCTTCGAGTGGGTTCAGAACTGACGGCACGCTCCGTATTCACTTCGGGCGCCGGCAGTACCAGGGCAGGTCTTACATGCGCTGCGCTTAGAGTAAGTAGAACTTTGTCTAAATAAATTACTTAGTGGGGAAATAAGATACTAGACGTCCCGCGACGGCTTAATTTTCTTTTGTTTTGTTAGGAAGACGGAGAATGGCATTTAGAAGCAGGTGCACTTGTGCTATCTGATGGTGGGGTGTGTTGTATTGACGAGATCTCACAGCTACGCGTCCATGATCGCACGGCCATACACGAAGCCATGGAACAGCAAACTATATCTGTAGCTAAGGTATATCAATTTAAAATATATTATTATTAAAAATCCTTTTAAGATTGTTAATTTACGTTGGTATTGTATTGGATTGGGATCAACTGATCTGATACATAAATAACTTTAACTCCTCAATTGCCAGTCCGTCACCTCAGTCACGCCTAAGTGTAGTGTGTAGAAGTGTGGTTAAAGTGCCGATAAAGGCATTCTTGACAATAAGAGCCTTGGAATATTTTCAGAATTACAGAAGATACAACATGATTATCTGTATCAATACAGTATTTAAGAATCAAGTGCTATCACTAGTAAGTGGTAAATTAAAAATATTATGTTGCAGGCCGGCATCGTATGTAAACTGAATACTCGATGTGCCATCATTGCAGCATGCAACCCTAAAGGACACTACGACACCGATCAACCTTTAAGTGTTAATGTATCTCTCGGAACTCCATTGTTAAGTAGGTAATGTGCAATTTGTGAGTCGCTTAGCTTTGCTTGATATGCGTATTTATACACAATTTTCGTGATATAATAGAAAAAAAGGAAGCTCACATCAAAATAATTTCAGGTTCGATTTAATATTTATATTGTTGGATTCAAAAAACAAAACCTGGGACAAACTTGTCTCGTCTTATATACTTTTTGGAGATTCAAATGCTAGTGAATCAAAGAAGTGGAATCTGGAAAAACTGCAGGTTGGTATTCAAGTTATTTCGTTATTTTAAATGCCAACATTTCGTTTTAATAGTAAGGTTTTTTTTTTCAGATGTACATAGATTTATAGGATTTACAAATTCGTCAACTTTTTTAATTTTTATGGACAACTTACGCTTGACTAGAAAAGTAGACCTTCAAGTTTTTTAAATAGTTTTAATAGTAAGGTATTATTTCTTTCAGATGTACATTGACTTAGTAGGTCCTCGATTTACGGAAATGACTAAATCAGCAAATATGATACTTCAATCCTACTACATGCTCCAAAGGAGGTCAGAACACCGAGATCCGTCGAGGACCACTGTGAGAATGTTAGATAGCTTAGTAAGGTAAGAAACAGATGTAATGGGTCAGAAGATTTGTCTGAATTATAAGGGGTAAAGTGTACAGTACAAATGATCGAAGTTAAGGGGGGATCGTCTACCTGTTGTTGTAGATGGCCCGAGGTACATCGGGGCACCAGGGACTTCCTTTCTAGGGTATACCTGGTTTCCCGGCTATTAGTACCCGAGACAGCGTGCGGTTTTAGTCGGTTCGAGTCCGACATGCCACCGATAGGTGGTATCCGAGGGGATTTCCGCACGGAAAAAAAAAGGTGAATTTCCGTGCGTTTAGGCGATTCTGCCCTACATATTATAGAAATCAAATATAGCTCATGTAGGACCCGTAATATTTTTGTGGCCGTTGTGCTTCCCTGTTTAAAAGGGTGTATGCCTATTTTACTTCATTTTGTCTCCCGCTTTGTTAAGGAGGGAAGTGGATTTACTGTATTTCCAACTCCTCCAATTTTCTTCTGATTAATTTCGTTGCGGGTTCTAAGACAGTTTAATTTTTTCCGGGGACTTTCCGAGTGTCATAACTCGGTGTGTTCGTGGGTCACTGCTGTGGATCCTGGTGTACAGGAGTTACAGTGGTTGACGTGTGGGTGGGATTAGTCCCTATAAAAATACCCCAATTTAAACACATATGGTGCACAGAACCATATAGCATATGATTGGCTTTTACATGGGTTATACTGGTTAACTAATACATAAGATATTCGAAACAGTCGAATATCAACCGCCAGGTGAACTCTAATATCAATTATAATTATAAAGCAATTATAAGAAGTTTAAACAATAGAATGTAAAGTAAATAATCATAGGATATGTTTTTTGCAGATTATCTCAAGCCCACTGTCGTCTTATGTATCGTACAACTATATTGCCAATGGATGCCATTATTGCAATAACTTTAGTGGATTTGTCAATGCAAGATTGCACACTCGATGATACGACGGATGCCTTACATTCTACTATCCCGAAATACTCGGACTATGAGTACTTACAAACTGCTAAAAAACTCCTAACGCAACTGAATTTGTTAGATATATGGAGAAATGAATTGTTATATTATGCCAAGTTATTACAAGTAGATCATAAAACATTAGAAAACGATCTAGAAAATGGTAATTGTAAAATATTTGCTAAACATGAAGATGTTACTGATGACAATATACAGCTTTCTGCATCCTTGATAACTAGTTCTTATTTCCATAATAATAAAAATACTAAAAAGGTCGATGTTAATTTAGTAGACGACACAGAGACATCTACTAAAAAAGACAAAAACTTTAAAAGTCCAATTAATGAGAGGTTAGCAGCGACATTAAAAAAGCACGCAGCTTTAAATAAGACAGAAAATGAACCGACAACTAAAAAGAAAAACATTAACAAAAGAAAAAGAAAAGAAATTACAGCAGACACCAGTCTAGTAAAAAGAAAATTGATTAAAAAAGGAAAAAAATCAAAAGACAAAACTGATGGTGATCATGATTATATTTGTAATAGTGATGAAGAGTTTGATGATAACGTAAATATGTTAAATGTAGTGCCAAGTGTAAATGATGCATTAGCTGATTTAGGTATTGACTTCAGGTTTGAAAGTGATACAAACGATAATAATAGAAACGAAAATATGAAAACGGAATCGGAAGAAAATGAAATGGAAGTTATTAATGTGCACAGAGATAAGGCATCAAATTCTGGTTTTAATAAGCAAGAAGTAATAGACAAACGAGCTATCGGATCTAATAACAAAACTGAAGTCCAACAAAATACAGCCAACAAATTAAAACAGTTTCAGTTTGTTAGCAACCATGACCCTGATAAATATGAAGAGAAATCCCATAAAGTAATTGATACTTCATCAAATAAACTTACAAGACTTGAATTGGAACATGAAAAAGACATTTTTAAATCAGCTTCAAAATCAAAAACCCATATATCAATGTTTGAGACTTCAGTGAAAACAAATACCACTTTAAAAGAAAATAATCCAAATTCTTCATCAAGTAATAAAGTTTTAAATTCAGGTTCACAAATATCTATATTTGAAAGTTCAGATTGTGATATAGATCTAGATATTTAATCATGTTCAGTGTTATTGGAATAGAATAAATCCATTATTTTAAAATAATTTTATTTAAACTACTTAAAATTACACTAGGTCTATACATTAGGGTCATAACATGTCAAATATTTGAAGGGACAGACGGTCATCCTTGACAGGGTGGGCCTTAGTGGGGTGGAACTAAGGGTGGCGGTGTTACGGCTTAAAGCCAAAAACACCGCCCCGGGACCCGATGGCATTCCTGGCCGAGCGTGGGTCCTGGCCTTAGTCGACGAGGCTCTCGAGCCCCGACTGCGAGGGTTCTTCAGCGCATGCCTAGAGCGGGGCCAGTTTCCGAAATTGTGGAGGACGGGGAAACTGGTCCTCATCCGAAAGGAGGGGCGCCCGGCGGACTCACCGTCCGCCTACCGGCCCATAGTGTTGCTTGACGAGGTGTGCAAGCTCTTTGAAAGAGTGATTGCAAGGCGCCTCGTCAAGCATCTCGTGATGGTTGGGCCGGATCTGGCGGACAACCAGTACGGTTTCCGTCAGGGGCGCTCCACCGTGGATGCGATCATGCGCGTGAAGGCTCTGGCGGAGGAAGCAGTCTCCCGGGGCGAAGTGGTGTTGGCGGTGTCCTTGGACATCGCCAACGCGTTCAACACTATGCCCTGGAGCTGCATCAGGGAGGCGCTCGTGTATCACGAAGTGCCTCTCTACCTCCGCCGCATAGTCGGGGCATATTTGTCGGAGAGAGCCGTCGTCTACCCCAGTAGGACCGGTCTCGGTAGGCGTGAAATGTCGTGCGGTGTTCCGCAGGGGTCGGTGTTAGGGCCACTCTTGTGGAACATCGGCTACGACTGGGTGCTTCGTGGTGCCTTCTTGGATGGTGTCGCCGTCGTGTGCTACGCGGACGACACACTCGTGACGGCGCGCGGCAAGACGCACCACGAGGCAACCCTGAGGGCCACGGCCGGGGTTGCCCAAGTCGTTGAGCGTATCCGGCGGCTGGGTCTCGAGGTGGCTCTGCACAAGTCCGAGGCCCTGTTCTTCCACGGGCTTCGGAGGAAGCCGCCTGAGGGATCTAGCCTCACGGTAGGAGGCACTCGCATCGGCATCGAGCCCTCGATCAGGTATCTGGGGCTCGTACTCGATGGCCGATGGGACTTCGGATATCATTTCCGAGGTCTGGTCCCCAAGTTGGTTGGGGCAGCGCGTGCGTTGGCGCGGCTGCTGCCCAACATGAAGGGACCCGATGACTCCTGCCGGAGACTCTACTCGGGGGTTGTGCGGTCCATGGCCCTTTACGGGTGCCCAGTATGGGCGGGGGCCCTGAAGGCCAGCAACGTCGCGATACTGCGGCGACCGCAGCGAATGCTGGCCATCAGGATCATAAGGGGGTACCGCACGATCTCCTTCGAGGCGGCGAGTCTCCTGGCCGGAACTCCACCGTGGGACCTGGAGGCGAGAGCCCTTGCAGCACTGTATCAGTGGCGCAAGGAGGCGCAGGAGTTGGGTCGATACCCCGAGATTCGAGAAATCGATGACCGGAAATCCCAACTCCGCCAGGTCATCATAGGGGAGTGGAGGGAACGACTCGGGCAACCGAGCGCCGGGCACGCCGTCATTGCGGCGGTAAGACCCGTTATGGAGGATTGGCTCGAGAGGCGTCACGGGACCCTCTCATACCGATTGACGCAGGTGATCACTGGGAAGGGATGTTTCGGAGATCACCTGTGTCTGATCCGCAAGGAGCCAACGCCTGAGTGCCACCACTGCGATGGCCAGACCGTGGACACGGCTCTCCACACGCTGGCAGAGTGCCCGGCGTGGGTTGAGCAGAGGCGAGACCTCGTGGCGGCCATCGGAGTGGGAGTTCTCTCGCTCGATAGCCTGATTGCGGCTATCGTGCGGAGCGAGAGTGCGTGGAACTCTGCCGTCTCCTTCTGCGAGCAAGTTATGCTCGCGAAGGAGACGGCGGAGCGGGACCGGGAGAGGTTTAGAACTCTCCCGGCCCGCCAGGCCCGGGCACGGGCCAGGCAGCGCAGGTCACTCAGGCGCCGGAGGTCGCAGAACGACCTCCGTCCTCCATAAGCGCAGGCCTGGGGGTGACAGGTGAGGCCATCTGTCACCCTAGCAGAAGCAGGCCGGGGTGGCGGCGAGCGCGTTGCGAAGCGCGCTCGCTTCCAGGGAGCACAGGGAACATGGGGTTCCCACACGGGGCGGGGGTCGTCTACTCGTCTGTAGATGACCCGAGGTATGTCGGGGCACCAGGGCCTTCCTTTCTAGGGTATACCTGGTTCCCCGGCTATTAGTAAAAAAAAAAAAAAAAAAAAGGGTGGGCCTTAGTAACTAAACTAAGATGACAAAGAGTTGAACAATAGGCCCATTAATTAGCAGTTTGCCATTCCAACTGACTGGACTGGAGATACTTTTACAGACATATTTTTGTACACAAATGTTGACTATGCCTCCACCTGCAGAATAGCATGTACATACAAACCTTCAATAACTGTCTTTGTTTTTCATAATAATCAAAACAGATTTAATTATAGGAAATAAGCTTATATATCTGATGCAAAAGATAAATAGCAATACACTATTGATTTTCTACAGCAGATTTATGTGGATTATCCTCATAGTTATCTATTAGAAGATGTTTAAATCTTCTTGCAGTTACACTAATAGACTCTTCCTTTGGTGCTACATTTAATATTTCTACTCTTGATACATATAAATGGTCTGAATTATTTGGGCTAACCATTTTGATTACATCCACTTCGTCACCTATTTTGACCTGCAATTATAAAACAAATAACAATGTATTACACACTATTTAAATAAAATAATTGCCTACAATGATTATGATACCCACTTTCATAGCTTATAAAGTAGTCTCTATTATAATAAATTTAGTACTGCCTTATGGTAGTAACACAACTGAATCCCGAAATGAATGGATAAGAATTTAATCTGTATGTAAAATTTCTTATCAGTGAGCTCACTTTGTGTTCAGGGAGCCTAGTGTGAGTATATTTCACATCAACTTGATCATCAAGGTGACCACATTCAGAGTTGCGATTGGCCTACTGAACTCTTCACCATCATGTCAAATAAACTCCCACTAGGCCCTCTTAATGGTACATAACATAAAAACTAAAGGGAAGAATTCTGGCACTGTAGATACTAACGTGAGTAGTATGGAAATGGTTTAAAATTAATGTTAGGAAGATTTGGTGTAAGGATGGTGACATAAATTGTACTTACAGAAGCACTTTTCTTAAGAATTTTCCTTCCGTTTATTCTAATTTTACTTTCATAAAACATCTGCTCCACCTTACTGAAAATAAAAAGCAAGTTGTATTAAACTAAAAGCAATAACAGTTTAAGACAAAAGGTCAATAACATTATAACTCTCTAACTGTAAATCTGTACTTGGAAGTTATAGTACATAGATTGATGATTAGATAGCAGGTATATACTTACTTCCTAGATACACTGAGTGCAGATTTTAATATTACATCTGCCCTCATTGAAGTGGTAGAAAATTTGACTACTTTAGAATCCTTGGAAAGTGAGGAATCTTCATCAAATTTTATATCTTCGTCGTCAGAATCATATTGCTAAAAAAATTTATAAAAGTTGTTAGTTTTTCTTGCAGTAAAACAAACAGCCTATGTATTTAACTTTTATATAAATAATCATTAATGCAAACCTTTTTAGTCTTACATCTAACCGTATTATAAGTTACATTAATTGGATTTAAATTGAGAGCTTGTGAGGTTATGTTTACATTTTTATGTGTGTAGTTATGTAAACATTTCCTGGCAACCTCTTGCTTAAAGGTATTTTGACCAATAGTAGAAATAATTAACTTTCGCCATAAGGTCATTTTCTGAAAAAAATATTAAAACCAACCGAACACAACAGCTGATTTTGATTATAAAATTGTAATGAAGTTATTGAAGTTGCATACATCCGATGACATTTATTTAACCTCCTATCACACAATACACCAGTGTTGCCAACAGTTAAATGAACTCTCCACCAGATTGTACATCTAAAACCACTAGAAAACCACTAACGCAAAATGACCTTCCCTAAGAGGCACTAAATTTTTCACTTAACATTTTTTTAGTAATCACGAAACAGAAATATACTTTATATTACTAACCAGTTTTCTCTATTAAATTTTAATACCGATACTAATCGGTTTTGTCAGCATAATTATCGTCGGTTCCAGATTAATACGATTCTTTGGTACCCATTTGTTTTACAACGTTTATTGGCATTTCATATTTGTTACAGGATTCTCCTTTCAACTTCAAACCACAGTGTTATCTGAATATAGCAAATATAAGATTTAATTTCATTCTATTCCTCTGTTTATACCTATATTCTCTCAACTCAACATCGGCATTGAAATGAGGCAGTATTAAGAGAGTAATGTCAAAGGATATTGATTCCACAAAAGTCAAAGTCCCTTGGCTCGTTCAACCTCTGGTATGTGGTAGTTCCTTAACATTTTGGGTATTGGTAGACAACAACGGAACTTGTCATGTCTTCGCAGTTATTGACATTATTGACTTCTTTCTCGATTCCGAATCCTTTTCATCTATCTGGCACGAAACCTATTTATTTTTTTAGTGTAAGATAAATTTTCTTGTTTGCCTAAAATTAATAGTCCTCTATCCAATCCCCATCCTTCCTTTCCCATCAAACGTCCTTGAGTTCTGCGTGAACAAACATGTCTCACAGTTCATCTTTCAACAGCATTAAGTCCTTTATAATCTTACTATTACTACAAAATCACTAGCCACTAATAGCAAAGTTTCGTCATCAAAAGGGGGTTCGAAATCACCAATTTTAGTGGATAACCCACTACTTTGGCAGCACCGCAATACAAATTTCATTCTCTGGTTTGTGTTTTAACTATGCATTCCATTATACGTAAATTGACATTATAGTATTTTAGATAAAATTGGACCACTTTATAAGACATTTTGCATGATTTAACTAACTATTACACATTATATATCTGTCTGTTCATTATGCGTGACTATAATGTCGTTTATATATATGGTCCTTTCACGTTAATGAAAGAAAAACATTTTGAACACTTTAAAGCACTTTTTGTTCCGGCTGGAGTTGCCGCAATAACTGAGAAAGTGCTAGTTTACGACTTATATTTTCTATCTCTTCTTGCGTCTTTTTACTTAGGAGTAAAAAAATTATAATCTTAATGGTAATCTTTTTTTAGCGCACTGATTAGGTGCTTTACTTGGGTCCACCCACTGAGACGAACGCTTACGGTTGTCGTAAAGGATTCGCTTTTCATCGCAGTTAACAATTCGATTTAGAATTCCTTTGTTTCTATGACAATTCAGTAGTGCTATGCATGCTTGGACACGTAAGTTTTGCTGATGGTCGTTAAATTCGCGTTGCACCCGCTTACCTAGTTTTTTTTATCTTTTTTGGAATCGTTATATCAGAAAACTTTTTCTACCTATGAGCTACCGCTCAGAGGTAGAAAAAGATTGAGACATTTTTATAGATAATTATACTCGTATGATCTACATTTTTTCTGATCTAATTTTATGATAAAACTCACCTTTTGCTGAAAAACGCGAAAAACCCATTTTTAAAACCTTTACCTTGAATTAAAAAAAAACAGGTACAGGATCTATGTTGGCTTTTCAGGATTCATTTATAGTGTTATTCTAAACATTCATACCAAGTCTGAAACCGATTAGTACAGCGATTTTTCATTAATAATACATACCATTTATTTACGACCTCTAGCAGCGCCAAGATTGAACTGTTTGGTAAATCGAGGTACTGAGTACTGACAGAATTATCATTTCATAAATAATTAATAGAGGGCGCTCACATATACAAAGTAAATCCCTAGCTTTAAAAAACTGTCATTATTATGTGATTTTAAAACATTCTGGACCTTGAATTTTTTACAGTTTGCGTCGACGACGAGTGCCGTAACCATCTTAATGACATTGTTGCCAGAATGCTTGATGAAAACGAGGGCCTGATAAATTTAAGACAAGAATCAGCAACATTAGTCGAAATCGTAATCTGTCAAAACTAGTAAGTGTAAAGAACATTAATTCTAAAAGCAACATCTCACCAGTTCGTATGTGAAATTTGTTTCTAATTCTCAGGGTTGAGTTGTAATGTAGCAGTCTACGTTGATGGTGGTTGGGATCTCATAAATTCATAATCATAACAGTTTATAGATTAGACACCACAGACGTGAGAACCAACACCCCTCTTCTGTTTGTTTATAACATTTGGTTAACGTCAATCTGAACTTGTGGTTTACGTGATAAGTATGGAATCGAATCTAATATCTGCTTCCCTTTAAGAAATTTACGGGTGAAGGTGCATACGTAACATAAGCGCGAAGCGCAGACGAACAGAATCTGTTGGAAGCACATACTGAAATTACAAAAAGGTAATCAATAATTAAAACAACGTGATAAAGGATCAAGTTTTCTTTCTTTCTTTTTTTTTTTCCAGTTTTGTTTCAGTTCTGTTTTTCTTAAAAGTGCGTGCAACAATAATTTCAAATGCCATATGCCATTATAAAAAATTGTGTAACTTTAAAGGATTTAAATTTCCTAAATTTACGAATATACGTCTTTAATGATGAACTCCTTCAAATGTTATTTCTTTGTGGACCGAAATGTAATTTTTTAAAATTCATTTGGCACCGCTTCAAACAAGACGTTGAGCTCGACTTAAAGCTCGCCTCGCGAGCTTTTGAAATTGTATTTGGTTCCCTCGTAGAGATGAGAGCATTAGCAGTAACAGATACAGCCGTACAGTAGATAACTTAAGTTGTTGTTCCAACTAAAAGTAGCTGTAGCTTGGCAAGTAAGTATGCTAAGCTTAAAAGTAAGTATTATCTATAATTGAATCAAAATAAAACACGTTACTTGAGATTGGCTGAACTTCTTTTACTTAATAACAATACACACATCAAAAAAGTCTTAGCAACACGCATGATTTGTTAACAAAATAGATCGGTAGCTATATAATCTTTTTTGTTCTCGGAAACATAAGTACACCGTCTGATTTAAAAAATAGAAAGTTTCTAATGTGTTTTGTTTCATTAAAATAAAAGCTAATCATTTTTTCCCGATTTTATGTGTTTTCGTTGCTTGATAAATTTGGTATTTATTTCACTTTTATCATTTTGAGATATACTACAGTTTTTGAAAAATTGAATGGTGATTAATTTTTTATGTCATGAAGCGACGCAATTTAACTGCTAATGAAATGTAGAGAGCTGTAGGAATGCTATTAGCGGGAAGAAATCAATCCCAGGTATCCCGGCATTTCAGTCCTAATAGAAGCGTGATTTGTTGTCATTGGCAGCGTTATGTTATTAATCAGGGGATCCTGCTGATCTGCTCGGCAGGACCCATACATACAAATGACTGGAAGACGTCAACCGACGTAACCCGCCGGGGAGATAGGTTTAATTAAAGCTACAATTCTCATGTGGTGTTGTTGTTAGCCTTGGTGGACCGTGAGAAATAGGCTGCATGACGCATAGGCATATGGCCTACGAGTAGGACGACCAATCAGGTGCCCACCTATACGCCATGGAAATCGCACATGTCGAAACAAATGGTGTAGGGAACACTTGACATGGACCCAGGAGCAATGGGATCAAATTTTATTTTGCTATGAGTCCGGGTTTGGATTTAGGCCTGATACATGAAGGCTAAGAGTGTGTCATCGTCCCGGAAACGCTGAACGGCTGAGATGCGTCCAGGAAGTGCACCTTACAGTGGCTTTACAGTGATGGTATTGGCGGGTATTATGAAGAACAAACGAACTGAGCTCGTTTTTGTAGAAGGCAATATGAAGGCTGAAAACTGAAGTTTTCAGCGTTCATATAGCAGATGTCCTCGGGCCTCATGTTCACCCATTTGCACTAAGTTTTGGCTCACATTTCACGCTAAGGCATGACAATGCGTGTTCGCGCACAGCCCCGAGGAACAGAGCACTAGGCAATGGCAAACATCCGGGTATTGCCGTGGCCTGCACGATTGCCAGACCTCAATCCCATCGAGCAAGCATAGGATATGCTCCAGAGACGTGTTCTAGAGAACTTGGACGGAATGTCGACAACCCAACAACTGAACGACTCGTTGAAATTCCATTGGCAGCGATTGCCGCAGGATCAGGTAAACAATGTTATAAATTCAATGAAAAATCGTTGCCGATATGTTTTAAACAACAGAGGCGGTCACACTTTGTATTGGATTACCCAGTAGTTAAGAAAAATATCGTTATTTAATTTTAATTTATAAAACCTGAAACTTAGTATTATTATTATCATATGCTTCATTCAGATCCGAATCATTTCATTCTGTATGTTCCAGTATTTTGATATATTTGAAAGATTTAAAAAAAAAAATAGTCCGGCAAATAAAAATTGTCAACAAGCCAATAAAAAACCAACTTTTTTTTCGGAATTTCTCAGACGTCTTTCATACGAATAGCTTTCAGCCAGTTTATATATATATATACATACATATTATACAAGGTTTGTCTCTTGCGAACATGTGGACACATGTCTTGAATTTAGAACGCTCTTTTATTTTAGAACAGGACCTACCACAAACTTATCTAAACCAGCGATGGCGTCGCTAGTATCGACGCGCGCGCACTTAAATTGTATTCTTTTAATATTTATTTAGTTCTGTAAGACGTTGGTTCAAACCTTCACCACCGATATGTATAACTTTGTCACACTACATACGATTAGGTTTACGGCGCCTTCAAAGAGATTTTTTGTTCAATTTGACACAGTTTATAGCTCGATCCCGCGTTTTGACGGCCACGGATGGAAAATCTGTGTTG